ATTCAGGTTTTTAAAAAAACCCTCAAAAACAGAAATGGTGAAAGACCGGTGGAAACTTGTGGCAGGGGGAGGATTTGAGAGGAAACAGAATCCCTGGGGCAGTGGAGGTAGTGTGGGTAAGGGGGCAGTCATTGTACTTTCTATCATGTCTGTCTTGCTCCTCGGGTAACAGGCTTAGACAGACAACTCTGAATCTTCAGAGAGAAAGGAAAAATGCCTTTTTCTTATAAATGTCCTGGTGATCCTTGTTCTTATTTTGTTACTATTTTAGTAATAATCTTTCAGGTGCCTCAAATCTTTTAGGAAACTAAGACTTAAATGTCAAAACTAGCATTGGATATCTACATATTATATATATACACACATTTTTTTTCTCCACTGCGCACCATGTCCCCAGAGTGATAATACGGAGAACTGTCTTAATGATTGAGCATTAAAAACAAAACAAGGGACACCTGGGTGGCTCAGTCAGTTAAGCGTCTGCCTTCGGCTCAGGTCATGATCCCAGGGTCCTGGGATCGAGTCCCCGCACGGGGCTCCCTGCTCCACGGAGAGCCTGCTTCTCCCTCTGCCTCTGTCTGTCTCTCTCTCTCTCTGTCTCTCGTGAATAAATAAATTTAAAAATCTTTAAAAATAAAAATAAAAAATAAAAACAAAACAAAATCCTATTAATTACAGTGACCTATACCTTAACCTATAAGAGTAAGCCCATATCTTGTAGGAAATGGAGCTTCTTTTAATTTATTCAGCACCTAATATATGCCTAATGTGTATATAAATGAACAGTCTCAGTCCTCAAAATTGGCACTAGGACTGTTTAACATATGAAGAAGCCTTCCGTATGGAAGGTGGGAGTGCAGTAAAGAGCTGTGGACCTCTTGGCACCTGCTGCCCATGGTAGCCTTGGGGTCTATTCTCCTCAGGAATTTGGGGGCAATAATCTGCCTCCTAACAGAGGTACTACGTGTAGCCTGATCTTTGTACACCTCAAAAAGATGACCACGTGGGAGAAGTAATCCCAACATTCATTCACTGCACAAGCAGGAGGGAGACACAAGTATTGATGGAAGCTGAAGGTGAATCCTTTTTCCGATATTAACTTATTTGTTCATTGTTCTGTCATCAGGTACCAAGAAAAAGAAGTGAGCTCCAAGAGAGTGGAAATCTAGTTGGCCTTATTGACAGCGGTACTCCCATCATCTGGTATGGAGCATGGCATACTGGAGAGCTCAATAAATACTGGGGAAGAAATAAAGAAAGTCCGCGTGGGAAAATGGGCCACCCATTACTAAGGATGAAGAAATACCATAATGTTTTTTCAGGAAGACTTCAACTCTGACTCATAGGAAAGATGACACCAAAGATGTGAAATCTGAACTGGGATCTGTGCTGTGGGCCCTGTGGGCCAGGATGAAGCTTGTAGAAAAGGGTGAAATGGAAGGGTCAATTAAGGACAGAATAAGATGGCTATTTAACTTTTATTTTTTTTTTATTTTTTTTTTTTAAGATTTTATTTATTTGAGAGAGAGAGAGAATGAGAGAGAGCAAGCACATGAGAGGGGGGAGGGTCAGAGGGAGAAGCAGACTCCCTGCCGAGTAGGGAGCCCGATGTGGGACTCGATCCAGGGACTCCAGGATCATGACCTGAGCGGAAGGCAGTCGCTTAACCAACTGAGCCACCCAGGCGCCCAAGATGGCTATTTAACTTTTAAATGTGGATTCCGGATCTGAAATGTGTAACTTCCGGCACTTAAGTCATTTATCCTTACATTTTCTCACATTTCATGTTTATGAAAGCAGTGCTGTACAATCAAGCAATGCTACCACCACAGGACTGTTGGAATGAGGTCATTACTCCAGGCTAACGCGGGAATGAACATGAGACTTCAAGCAGATTATTTGTTGTTAGGAAGCAAAATCAAACTGATTACATTTCCAAAGGAGTATAATATGATGGCGACAAGACCATCATGAAAAAATCTCTTAAAAGCTCCTAAGCATAAGTAATGTATGACTAAAGACACTGCACTGTTATGCAACATGAGTGTCGGGGGGAACAAATTTACTTATGACTCATGCTTCTATATTACACATATTACTGGATGTTCCCTTCATTTTAAAGAAATGGGAACATAAATGTGTATATAGAAATATCTGATATCCAAAACATGAAAACACAACAGCTATTAGGCTACGAAAAATCTGGTGGGCACTGTGTCATCAGAACACTCTTCCAAGACGGAAAGTTACTCCCATACTTTTTGAAAAGTATGGCCAGAGAGCCACCTTCCTGCGCGACACCAGCTAGCCCCCACTGCGTCTTCAGAACTGGGTCCCCATGAACAGCCCAGACAAGACAGGAGTGAAGGCCCTGAGAATGACAGGTAAAAATAATCCCCCTGACGCCCCCGCACCCTAGTCTGCTTCTCTTTTGCATTAAGGCGAGTAGGGAGAGATCCCAATCCTGCCCACCTCCAGCCAGTGGGTCCTTCATGGTCTCCCTCAACCGCCCACAAAACACCTCGAGGGTGCGGACCAAAGTAGTCCACAAAACGGCAGAAACCAACCCCCCAGTACCTGCTCCAGAGGTCTCCTGGCTGCCCCCCGGGTCATCCGGAAGGTCCCCGAGACTACACAGCTCTCTCGACCACACGATTTTCACCGACTTTATTGGCCCTGGACTCGGCGGGCCCCTCGCCACCCACCTCCCCACTAGATCGCGGCAGACTTCCATGACATCGAGTATATTGAAAAATACTGCGGGGTGGCTATGGAAAGAGCCTTTGCTGGGGAAGCCAGCTCCCCTGTGGTGGCGTCAGGGTCACTTGCTCTTCGCCTTCTGACTCTCCGTCTTCTTGGGCAACAGCACGGCCTGGATGTTGGGCAGGACGCCGCCCTGAGCAATGGTGACTTTCCCCAGCAGCTTGTTTAGCTCCTCGTCGTTGCGGATGGCGAGCTGCAGGTGGCGAGGGATTATCCTGGTCTTCTTGTTGTCACGAGCCGCATTGCCAGCCAACTCCAGGATCTCTGCCGTCAGGTACTCCAACACCGCAGCCAGGTACACCGGCGCCCCAGCGCCTACTCGCTCCGCGTAGTTACCTTTGCGCAGCAGTCTGTGGACTCGGCCCACCGGGAACTGCAGGCCCGCGCGGGAAGACCGAGACTTGGCCTTGGCCCGCACTTTGCCGCCCTGCTTTCCGCGACCAGACATGTTTACCTCTCGCCTAAAACTCCTGCGAGAGGAAAAACACAGAGACACGGTTCTCAGTAGGTGAATGTAATTTACCAACACCGGAACTGCCTCTATCACTTTGCTGACACTAGGCAGCGCCTTCCCATTGGGCGCAGCAACATCTTCGGCTCTATTGACCAATGACAGGCAGGCTCCGCTCCCAACCAGAGCTCCTGGCAGAGGGACCGCCTTCTCCAGCTCTATCCAGTCAAAAGAGCAAACTCCTAGCCCTCATTTACATAGCCTCTCCTATGAATACCCAGGACCGGACCGTTCCGCATTTGGGGCCTCCGTTGAATTTTTTGGCCCCTGAGATTTCAACGTCCAAGTTCGCTCCTGGGACAAGAACGTCTTAAGAATTAAGGAACCACGGTTAGAAACTGAAAAATCCGTACAAGTACAAAAACACTCAAGCAAGAAACGCCTCAAGCAATTGAGGTCGCAAGATGAGCCCTCCGGTGCTGCGTCCCACGGTGCTGTGCCCCCTAGGTGGATTTTCTCACGTTATATAGCATCCTTAGCCAGTTTAGCTGACTCCAGACACCGCGCTTGTGGGCAACAGTACCCCTCTAACTGCCGTTTCTTTAAACAAGCGCCTTGTCTCCTGCAAACCCAGATGCGCCTGCTGCTACCCAGCAGTGTGGGGAGCTGGCTGCAAAAGATGCCTCGCACTGAACTGGCCATCTGAACGTTCTTAACCAGACCAGGTGACACTGGACTCCCCGACCAGTTCTGCCGTTCACAGGTTGCCAATCTTAGCTTCTAGGGACTGCGAAACTAGTGCTACGCTAGACGTGAATGCTTTCTTCACAGACTGCAGAACAAGCTCGCTTAGCCAAAACTTAACATCTCCTGTCTTTTGAGATTATGAGCCTGAAAAGAGTCTCTGGATTCCAGGGAGAGGCTGCAAGATCAGTCTCTGAGGCACGGAGTCTTGGTCTTGGCTTACTCCTTAGTGGTCACCGCGCTGCTGATCATGTTCTCCATGGCGACTCTGAGCCCGGAGGTAAATAAGGTCGCGTAAGACACTGGGATGGCGCTTGGCTGTCTCTTTTTCCAGCCCTCTACTGCACATGCGATGCTCAGAGGTCATGAAAAGACTAAAGAAGAACGGAAGCAACTGTCCTTACCCAAATTGCAGAGCCATAGCATTTGGAACAAAGTAAGTTTTTTTTATTAGAAATTATTTTTTACTAATTCATTGATGTAATTTCAGTTACCTCAACATTTCCCATAATTATACAATTACTCTGCTATGTGTTGTAAACACATTAAAATAAGCGACATTTTATGGAGAGTATAGTAACCATTTTAAAAGTAAAATTTACCATCCCACCATCCTAATAAAGATTTGATTTCTGAAATCATTTTCAGCGATTTCTGTACATGTCCTTATTGCCTAGAACACTGATTAACCTATATATAGTAGGAACTCAATAAATGTCTTTGGAGTTGAGAAGCAGCATATTGTCATGATTAAGTCAGTCATCCTGGAGCCAGACTGCCTTGGTTCAAATCCTGTCTCTACCACTTACCAGTTGACTTGGGTAAGCTCTGCGCCTATACCAAAGTGTTATTTTGAAGATTAAATACATTAGTAAGCATCCAATAACTGCTAGATGAGTTAAATAAATGGACTTACAAGTTTCTGATGCAGTTATTAACATGTTCCTGATATGAATTTTGCAAATTTTGCTTAACTTTTTGCCTATATCAAGGGAAATTTTTGACAATTATTGTTATTATTTTGAACGCTTTTTCCTTTTATTCTTGTAAGCAAGAATGATTTCTAACTTGAAAAATTTGTTCTAACCTCGATTTTTTAGTCTTAGTAAATATAATCAACCAATTTACCATTATAAGAATCCTGATCTCTTCCAGATCTGATAGACTTTCTTCTTCCCTGTGAGTCAAAGATGAAAATCATGTAGTACAATATGACTATTCAGGATTTTTTGCAGCCATACAAACAGTATTCTGAGGGATCTTTTATTTTAAGAGTCACTTATTTTAGAGAGAGAGTGGAGGAGCAGGGAGGGGGGTGGAGAGGGACAAGTGAGTGGAGGAGCAGGGAGGGAGGTGGAGAGGGACAAACGGACTCCCGGCTGGGGTGGTGGGGGGCATGCTGGGTCTCAATCTTATGACCCTGAGATCATGACCTACCTGAAATCAAGAGTGCCCCTTAACCCTTAACCCTTCTGAGCGACACAGGCGCCCCTCTGAGGGCTCTTTTAATTTATCTTTAACAATAAAAAGTGCTGGGCGCCTGGGTGGCTCAGTTGGTTAAGCGACTGCTTTCGGCTCAGGTCATGATCCCGGAGTCCTGGGATCGAGTCCCGCATCAGGCTCCCTGCTCAGCGAGAAGCCTGCTTCTCCCTCTGACCCTCCCCCCTCTCATGTACTCTCTCGCTCTCTCAAATAAATAAATCTTTAAAATTAAAAAAAAAGGTACTTTCTGTGTTATGCAGATGGGTAAGGATGGGTAAGTTATAAGCATTCAGACACACATACAAATATTTACTACGAAGCTTTTCCTGGAAAAGCTTATCTTTCAAGACTTGGGACAGGGAGCACAATTTACTAAAATATTCCTTCCTCCAGATGTTAAATGCTTGACAAAGAGTTATGAATCATCCTCTAAATACCGCTACCTTTTATTGCAGTAAACCCTTTTGGGAAGACAAGAGTCCTGTATCCTAGAGCGGTGACGTTATTGAAAGTTTCATATTTGTTCAGGGATTCTCTTAAGAAAGGATTGAGAGCCTCCTGATGGGCGATCTGCAGTAGAAATCACTCTTTAAAGCTACCGTCGTGGCATCATTATTTTTAAGAACTTTGAATTTGTAAGTGGGAGATGTGAGAACCTCGGGTTTGTTAAGGGACGCATTCCTTTTGAAAAATAATTGGAATTCGCGCGCGAGAGATGGGAGTCGGGGAGAGATGGGAAGGAGGGAGGGGAGGGAGGAAACGAGCGCCAAAAGGATCTGGTCTATTTTTATTTAAGCGTTGAGAAAAAGCAATATAAATTCCATTGACTCTTTCCTCAGTTTTATGGCAAAAATAAAAGTTTTCCCAAGAAATCAAACAACAAATACCAGTCTTGTTCTGCTTACGGCTCCTTCACTCATTATTAGAGGAAAGACAAAAATCACCTGGGGCCTAGAGCTCCGCCCACTTTCTTGAGGTTTTCAAACAGGTCCGCTACCAGGAAATATAAGCCCTGGTCTACGCTTCCCCGACCATTAGCTGCTTGCTTTCTGGGTCGGAAGGATGTCTGGTCGCGGGAAAGGCGGGAAAGGGCTGGGGAAGGGAGGCGCCAAGCGCCACCGGAAGGTCCTCCGGGACAACATCCAGGGCATTACAAAGCCCGCCATCCGCCGGCTCGCCCGCCGAGGTGGTGTCAAGCGCATTTCTGGGCTCATCTATGAGGAGACCCGGGGAGTGCTGAAAGTCTTTCTGGAGAATGTGATCCGCGATGCGGTGACTTACACGGAGCACGCCAAGCGCAAGACGGTCACCGCCATGGACGTGGTGTACGCGCTGAAACGCCAGGGTCGCACCTTGTATGGCTTCGGCGGCTGAGCAGTCTCTGCGGCTTCTCTTCAAATCCCTAAAAGGCCCTTTTAAGGGCCCTCAGAACGTCAGGAAAAGAGCCAACACTTTCTATTTACTGTGTGAATGTGGGACCTAGGTGTGTCAGATGAAGCCCTGCCTTGTGCCGTGGAAGTTCCTACCCTGGCGGGTGGCTCCGGGCTGCAGACGGCGAACTTGGGGCTTAGGAGGGGGAGGTATGACCCGTAGGGCTCGCAATGGGGATGCAGCGCCGCTCCCCTGGGACGTAGTCTGGAGAGCGCGGTGCCAGGTAGGGCCCTCGCTATAATGTGCACATGCAGACTGGGATCCTGTCTAGAATTTGGGTCCCACTTGGGGTAAGGAGGGATCCACGCATAAGTAGCGCATGGTTTTTGTTTTTGTTTTTTAATTTTTATTCTTATGTTAATCCCCATACATTACATCATTAGTTTTAGATGAAGTGTTACATGATTCATTGTTTGTGCATAACACCCAGTGCTCCATGCAGAATGTGCCCTCCTCAATACCCACCACCAGGCTAACCCATCCTCCCACCCCCCTCCCCTCTAGAACCCTGTTGGTTTTTCAGAGTCCATCGTCTCTCATGGTTCGTCTCCCCCTCCGATTTCCCCCGCTTCATTCTTCCCCTCCCGAGTAGCGCATGGTTTTTAAGCAGCGGAGGCCTCTGTCCCTGAGCCTATATAGAGAAGCTTCTATGCAAATTAGGGTTAGCTGATGCTGCCTCCGATTGGATCGGAGGGTCGCGCGACAGAGGGGGCGGCTCCTCGCCGTAGACCCGCCCCCTCAGAACGCGGGAGTGGGATGGCGCGAAAGTGCCAAGTGCTGTCCTGGTGTGGCGCTCCGGAGTGCTGCCGAGTGAATATTTTACTTCCTTGCTGACGTTTGAGCAGGAGGTGACCAAGTTCAGACGCCGAATGAAGGCGGCAAAGCGCGGGCGAAATCGAAGGCGGGGCCTAGCTCGCGGCCGCTGCTCTACCGGGGACGCGCTGCACTGTTAGCGGCAAGGAGCGGGTGAGCGTCCCGGCCCGAGTACCCGGCGGCGGTGCTCGAACCCCTGACCACGCAGATGCAGGAGTTAGCCCGCAGTGCGGCCAGGGGCGCGGGGCAGCATCCTGCTGCTGCTCGGGAGGCAGTGTCGTGTGACCCGGTCGCAGCCGGGAGATAAGCCCTAGCTTTCGAGTAAAGGCCCTTTTCTGAGCCGCCCGTGGGGTTGGCTGTAGGAGGGAGATGAGTGGAGGGCCGCGTTCTAATAAATTCGGCGCAAATGGCGTGGGCGAGATAGCTGTGTAGTCGCGGGTCCCCTTGCTCAATGATTCCGCTCTGCCGCCTGGAAACCCGGAGCAAGGGGCGGCCATTTGGGGCGCTTTACAGAGGCGGCTGTAGGGGCCGAACACGGGGAGACCCACCGCGGGGCGGGCCGGCAGGGGCCGCTAGTGGGGCGAGGCGAGAACCGAGCTCAGTTTGGAACATTTCTAGTATTCCCTCAGCGGAGGCTGGCATTATACCGTTTATTGGGGGGTCAGGCACTTTGGAACACTGTGTTGTTCCATTGCTGCTTCTGATTCTCCAGCGAATCTATGAAGTATTTATTATTATTTTGCAGATGAGGCAACTGATAATGGGGGCGTGTGTGTAAGAACTGGAGGCTGGATTTGATCCCAACTCTGTTGGATCCCGCACCCTTTGTCCTTAACCCTTATATGACACTGCTTCTGCCATGGAGGCCTCTTGGCCGTATTTGCTGGTATTTCACTTCTAAGTACTTTCCCCTATTCCATAAAGACTGAAGTGTGTTCGTTATTCTGGTATTAATTAAATGTCTAGGGCACTGAGACAGTCCCAGAAGCTCAGCTTTCTTTCATCCAAGTGAAAAAACAGTTACTTAAAAGAAGCAGCAAACTTAGCACACTTTTATGCCTCTGTTGGTTGTGAATGAGTGAATTTGAGTAGATGGATGGATGGATATTTTACCTATTAAATCTCCAATTTAACATGAATCAAATCATTAAGGGGGCACCTGGGTGGCTCAATGGGTTAAGCGTCTGCCTTCGGCTCGGGTTATGATCTGGGGGTCCTGGGATTGAGCCCTCCATCCAGCTCCTGGCTCAGCGGGGAGTCTGCTTCTCCCTTTCCCTCTGTCCCTCCTCCCCGCTCGCTCGCTTGTGTTCTCTTTCTGTCTCTCTCAAATAAATAAAATCTTTAAAAAAAAATTGAGGATGAAGATTAAGACGCCAGTGGAGCATGGAAATAAGAATTTCTATGGCAATTTAATATATCTATTCCTTAAGTATTTAACTTATTACGAATTGGTTGTTGTTTGTTTGTTCGTTTATTTATTTATTTATTTATTTATTTATTTATTTATTTTTGGTGATGGCCTCAATTCTTCCTAGTTGCATAATACAATTTATATCCTCCCTTGTAACACAGCTATTTTTGTTTATGTTTTATGCTCCTTATAAAATATAACCAAATTATTTGAGCACAGGAAATCTTTATATTTGTCTGTGTAAGTCCCATGGTAGTAGTACCTAGTCCTAAAGTAATCATGTTTTCCAAACCTGAACTGGGTCACATGATTGATAACGCAATAAAGTACCTGAAAGTGGAACTGAGATTTTCTGAAGTTGACTAATAAAATGCCTTACTACAAATGTTTGTTAAAGAACTTAAATCTTCTCTGTAATGCCTCTCTTTTAACAATGTGAACAGAATGTTTTTGAAATTAGTAAAGTCATCCTCTTCTGATTTTTGGACATTTAATGCCTCATTTGTTCCAACTACTGTTAACTTTTGAAGATTCAGAGATAAAGAAGCACAGTCCCTGCTATCAAGAAGTTTCTGTTTTCAAAGTAGAGAGGGTGGAGAAAGTCATCTGCATCACTGTACACATGTGGTTTACTAGAGTGCTATGAATTAAGTGCTGTTGGTGTACAGGACAAATTTCAGATTTGGGTTATCTTCAAAGATCAGATGGTATTTGTTCTGAGTTGAAGGTCCATTGGAGAACTGGAAAGCCAACCACGCTTAGGGAACAAACATCATGAACAAATGCCACAGTAGTTTCCAGACATGGTGTACTGGGGACCTCCTAATGTTGGGTATTTAATTTGTCCTGTGGTCCAAGAATAATGAAATGGACTAGGTCAACAGATGGATAAAAACTGAAACCAGGTCCAAACAAACCAATAGAAAAGTGGACAGGAGACAGTGGAGCAAAATGGCTAACAAGTACAGTAAGAAATATTCAGCTTGATTAGTCAGGGAACTGCAAACGAAGACCACAATGAAATATGATTTTGCACTCACTAGATTGGTGAAAACTTAAAAGTGACAATAGCAATGCTGCACAAAATGTCTTCTGTTGCTAGTAAGAATACACATTCAACTATTTCTGAAACAAAAAGCTTGTCATTATCTTGTAAACTTAAAGATAGATTCACAGGTATGCTGACCCAGCAGTTCCACTCCTGGGTGTTTACCTAAGGGAGATTATTGCACACATATATCAGGACACATGTTCACTAAAGTTTACCTTAGAACTGGTCAAAGTAGCTGGGCAGCTGGGCAGCTCAGATGGTTAAGCATCTGCCTTCAGCTCAGGTCATGATCTCCAGGTCCTGGGATCGAGCCCCACATTGGTCTTCCGGCTCAGCGGGTAGTCTGCTTCTCCCTCTCCCTCTGCCTCTCCCCTTCCCCGCTACGCATTCTCTGTCTTTCTCTCAAAATGAATAAATGAAGTCTTAAAAAAAAAAAGAAAATAAGAACTGTCCAAAGTAGCAAAAACAAAGAAGCCAAATGCATGTTGACAAGAGAGTGGATGAATAAATGGTGAAAATAGAATTTGGCAATCAGAATGAACTGATAAATACAATATGAGCTCAGGGTGGTCTACATCCAGTGTTTTGTTCTGCTGACACACATGGAAACTTGAGTCTTCATTTGGCAGATTTTTACTCTGAAATAATACATGGTTGATTATCATCTGTGGGAGTCCTGAGGAACTAATGGAGCATACTGCCCTCCAAGAAAAATTGGCATTTGCTTCACCTTTGGGCCGAATGCTTCTATGAATTTCTGACCCCTTTAGTCCCCTCTCGAGTATCTCAGCTTGATGGGTGGTTCTCGGATTCTACTTCACTTCCTTATAGGAGGCCCAAGACTTATTCTTTATAGTCCTAGATTTTATGCTTGCTTATCCCTCACTTTCAGTTGTAGTTTCACTATTTTTTAATTTTTTTGCCCTGTGAAGATTTTCCTTATTTTCCTGTGACCACTATAATGCAACATTTGTGCTAGAAATTTCATTCAGACTGTTTAGTTTGCCAAACTGCTCGCAGTGGGTTTAGCTAACTATAACATTTGATTTTATATGTATGTCTTCCCTCCCTAGTCTCTGAACTCCTTGAGAGTAGGAATCACTCAGGTCTGTGGTCTGTATCCCTAGAACAGCTCTGATCCAGAATTTTGAATACACACAGGCACTTATTAATGTTTTGGGAAAATTGTCTATTTATGTATTTGATAATATGGTAACAAAATAAACTGAGTTGTTTTTCAAACATTTCTATTTTCTGAAAAGATTATATACCATGACAGTTATCTGATCCTTGAATTTATTAGTAAACTATTTGCCTTGAAGTCCTGCCCTGGAAGGACTACATTTTCAGATTCTTTCTCCATTTTTATTTTTGTCTATTTAGACTCTACTTTTTCTTCAGTTAAAATTGGTAATTTATGTTTTCCTGTAAAGCTATATGTTTTATAAAAAATTAGAACAAACATACACATATCATATATTCTAATATTAAAAACCTTGTCTGTCTTTCTCATTTTGAATTTTGTGTTATCTTTCTTCTGGTTATATTTTTCAGAAGTCTGGCATATATTAGCTTCTTCAAAGAAAAAATTACTCAATTTTGAATTTTTGAGTTTTTTTGTATTTTTTTACCCTGTAATTTCCTTGATACAATTTTTTTTTACCATTTCTCCAAACCTATTATCCCCATTTCATATTAGATTTTTTATTTTCTAAATAAAGATATAACTTATGATTCTGGATTTATTTCTATTACAGTTTGGTTGCATCTCAAACTTTTGAAATGTTATAGTGTATTTTATTTTTTCCTAAGTGTTCCATAATTTTATTTTTATTTCATCTCAAATTAACCCAATTATAAAAGGGGTTAAAAATTTAGGTAGTTGGAATGTTTTCCTATTTTAGTTCTCGATATTAATTTCTATTTAGAAATTTGAGCTAGAGAGTGACCTCTGCTATTTCTTCTTTTTGGAAATTATCGAAGTTTTATTTGGGACCAATTTTTGAAAATACTTCATGGTTCTTAGACAAGGAGGCATTGTATATGTTTTAAAATATGACATTCAATTTATAGCTATTTGTTCGGCTTTTTTTTTTTTTAAGATTTTATTTATTTGAGAGAGAGAGAGAGTGGGGAGGTGTAGGAGGAGAAGCAGACTCCCTGCTAAGCAGGGAGCCCGATGTGGGACTCGATCC